GCCCGCCCGCGGCCGGTGAGGTAACATAGTGATCCCTCCTCTGTGTGTGAGACTGTGTGTTAATGAACAGGTGAGGAAAGTCTTGTGCTGTGTTCCTAATCAAAGACTTCTTAATATATTGAAACAACGCTTTTTTTAGCAAGCCCAATACCTTTTTATTTCAATTCACAGAATGGAATTTTTTGTTTTGTGTCTCAGATTCATTTTGTATTTCTTTTTTAACACCATATATTTCCCTTGTGTTTTTTAACTCATGCACATGTGTTCTTTGTATAATTTTAAAAAGTAATAAAATCCAACATATCAGAATGTTTAGTTTCATTTTTCATGTTTTGCATATGTTTTGGCCTGAAGTGTTGGAATTATAAAACGGGAACAAGGAGGGATTGTGAATATGTGTAAAATAGCTTCAGACATTTGTATTATTTTTATCACGAAATCATGTTTTCTCTGAGAGATTGTTCTCAAACGTTCCGAGTACTCTTCTTTAGAACCCACAAAATGACTGAAACCAGTGCTGTCATTGTTTTCTTCATGTTTAGCCAATTTGAATTAAAATGAACTAAAATACATTGTGAGCTATTTTTCAAACACTCATATTTGCCTTAATGATTCATAGGAAGTCAGCTCGTCTGTTAGTTTTCTTTCATCATTCATTGTATCATTTAAGAAAAACTTAATTGCTTGTAGTGATGACGATGCTGGTGTGGATAGAAACTGACCTTTTGTGCAGATCAAGTTACCTCTGTCTCTGCTTGTTTTAAGAGGGGGTCAGATCTCAGCAACGAAACTGTGGGGCATTGGAACAGGTGGGGGCTTGCTGCAAAGCTAGGGACCAGCCAGGAGAAGCTTCTCCCAGTAGACAAGGAGAGAGGAAAATCTCCAGGATCTGTCCTGGGGACTGAAACATTAGGGACTCAGTGGTGTCGAATCAGTGAGAGTCTCCTGTCTCAGGCCTGGAGGTGCATATACAACGATCCCACAGATGATGCTCAAGTTGGACATCAGGGTGTTAATTTCACCTGAGAAGGAGCTCGCAGCCAGACACGCTGAGTTGCACCAGTAGGATGCTGCCCGTCCTCACAGGAGGCCAAGGCTCACTCAGAGTTAGCTCTGTAAGCACAGACTGAGGGAAATGAGGTGTAGCATGTGAATACTCCATGGAGTCAGACTGAGAGCCTGCAGGGTTATCTCAACAAAAGAGTTATACTTCCCCCCGGGGTTGATAGCTTCAGCCACAGGCCTTGTACCCATTGGGTACCATGCCTGGGTGGGGTAGGGTTGGAGACATGTGTTCTTTATATTGACATTGCTGAACTAGCTTCTTCAAGTTGACCCCAGTCACTCATTTATCTGATGTTAAGGTTCTCTGTTAAGCTTTGCTCAGGTTGGGACTCTGAAGTCATTTTGTCCCTATAGAGGGACTTATTATGATTCATTGTATGACATCAGTTACACAGTACAACTCAGGGCTTCCATATCCCTAGGTCCCTGTGGGGACAGAAGCACATCACTGTTGGCCACATGCATCCTTCTGATTTCAAGATTGTTCTTTTTTTAGCACCGAAGGAGGCAAGTGAAGCTTCATCATTCTCTGCTGTACCCCTTTTAATAAAAGGATTCATACTATAAAATTTGGATTTAATCAAAAGTCTGAACTTAAGGACCTACAAGGCCACAAGTGGCCCTAAGGTTGCAGGTTCCCCACTTCTGATAGGTTCACGGGCATGGGTCCTGGGTCACCCTGTTTACACTGAGGAAATGAAACCAAAAGGTACCAGCATCTGTAAACCAAATACCTTGGAAAAGTACAGACACTTGGCGGGATGTCAGGGATCATCTCGGTGCTGCAAGATGTCCTCTGCTCCTCAGCACAGTGTCCTGGGAGTGGACCCAACAGTCCTGGACATTACCTTTCCAGCTCACACAGTAGCTAATGAGCTTGAATATCAATTCGAGGATCCCACCCTACCCACAGCATGTAATGTGTTTGATAACAATCTCGTGTGTGTGAAGAGGGATATTTCCTTCCCATTAGCTGTGGCCTTTCGAAAGTGAGCAAAGTTGGTTGTGGCTTAACTGTCCCTGTTTTCTCTTATGATGTCCTAACCACCCATCACTTGCACAGCCCCAACCAGTAGGGGCCGGTTTGACTTTGAGCATTTTCCA